ATTATTCTAAAACCATGAAATACCACCTCACCCCTCCTAGTATGGTTATAAATTTTTTGGCTTTATTGAGATATAATTGACATATAACATTTTATAAGTTTAAAGTGTCCAACATGTTGATTTGATACACTTGTATATTGTGAAATTATTCCCACAGTAGTGATAACACCTCCATCACCTTGCGTAAGTATTTTTTTATGTTGTTAAATTTATTGGGGTGACATCAGTTAATAAAATTATATAGGTTTCAAGTGTACAATTCTATAATGCATTATCTGTATATTGCATTGTATGTTCACCACCCAATGTCTAATCTCTTTTTGTCACCGTGTATTTGACCCCCTTTAGCCTTTTCTACCTCACCCCATGCCCTTTTCCCTCTGGTAACCACTATACTGTTGTCTGTGTCTATGAGTTTTTGTCTGTTTGTTTGTGTTGTTTTTTGTTTTCAGCTTTGTATCCCACATATAAGTGAAATCATAAGGTTCTTGACTTTTTTCTGACTGATTTATTTTCCTTAGCATGTTATTTTCAAGATCCATCCATGTTGTCACAAATGGCAGTGTTTCTTCTTTTCTTATAGTTGAGTAGTATTCCATTGTTTATATATACCACATCTTGTTTATCCAATCATCTATCGCAGGACACTTTGGTTGTTTCCATGTCTTAGCCACTGTGAATAGTGCTACAATGAACATAGGGGTACATATATATTTACAAATAAATGTTTTCAGACTTTTTGGGTAGATACCCAGAAGAGGGATTGTGGGATCATATGGTAATTCTAGTCTTAATTTTTTGAGAAACCTCCATATTGTTTTCCATAGAGGCTGTACCAGTTTCCATTCCTACCAGCAGTGTATGAAAGTTCATTTTTCTCCACAACCTCTCCAACACTTGTTACTTGTCTTGTTGCTCATAGCCATTCTAACAGGTGTGAGGTAGTATTTCATTGTGGTTTTGATTTGCAGTTCCCTAATAGCTAGTGAAGTTGAGCACCTTTTCATATATCTGTTGGCTGTTTGTCTGTTTTCTTGGGAGAAGTGTCTATTCAGGTCCTCTACCTATTTTTTAATTGGCTTCTTTGTTTTTGTTGTTGAGTCGTATGAGTTCTTTATTTAGTTTGGATATTAGTCTCTTATTGGAGGTGTTGTTTGCAAATATCTTCTCCCACTCAGTTGGTTGCCTCTTTTTTGTTGTTTTTTTTTTTTCTGTGCAGAAGTTTTCTAATTTGATATAGTCCCATTCATTTATTTTTGCTTTTACTTCACTTGCCTTTAAGGTCAAATTCATAAAATCCTCACTAAGACCAAGGTCCATAAGTTTAGTTCCTATGTTTTCTTCTATGTATTTTATTGTTTCAGGTTTTATATTTAGGTCTTTTATCCATTTGGGGTTAATTTTTATGTATGGTGACAAATAGCAGTCTAGTTTCATTCTTTTGCATATGGCTTTCAAATTTTCATAGCACCATTTAAGAGGCTTTGTTTTCTCCATTTTATGTTTTTGGCTCCTTTATGGAAAATTGTTTGTCCACACGAGTATATATCACATTTTCTTTATCTATTCATCTGTTGATGACACTTAGGTTATTTCCATATCTTGGTTATCGTGATTAATTCTGTATAGGGATGCAGGTATCTCTTTGAAATAATGATTTCATTTCCTTTGGGTATATACCTGGAAGTGGAATTGCTGGATCATATAGTTCTATTTTTAATTTTTTGAAGAACCGCCATATTGTTTTCCATAGTGATCGCACCAATTTACATTTCCAACAACAGTGCACAAGGTGTTCCCTTTTCTCTACATTCTCACCAACACTTGTTATCTCTTGTCTTTTTTATCATTGTCATTCTAATAGGTATGAGGTGATATCTCATTGTGGTTTTGATTTGCATTTGCTTCATGATTAGTGATATTGAGCATCCTTTCATGTACTTTTTGGTCATTTGTATGTCTTTTTTGGAAAAATATTCAGTTCCTCTGCCCAATTTTTAATCAGATCATTATTATTTGTTTGCTATTGAATTGTATGTGTTCCTTATATATTTTGGTTATTAACATCTTATCAGATATATGATTTGCAAATATTTTCTCCCATTCTGTAGGTTGCCTTTTCATTTTGTTGATTGTTTCTTTTGCTGTGCAGATGCTTTTTAGTTTAATGTTGTCCCACTTATTTATTTTTGCTTTTGTGGCTTATGTAGCATGGCATTTAAATTAGAAAATAGGTGTTGGCAAGGAGAAATTGGAGAAATTGGAACCCTTGTGCATTGCTGGTGGGAATGTAGAAAATGTCAGAGCAATCAGGAGTGGAATATGTTGTAGGCTGCTTTGTCCAAGACCTTAACTCTACATAGTTTCCTTCCATGTACCTGGCTACCCTCAATCTTGCGGTTAATAATCCAAACCATTCAACAGTTCTGCCTATTTTCTCTTCTGATTTTATCTCTCTGTCTCTCTACAAGGTCTCATTCACTTCTCAAGTCTGGCTGGCTTCCAAATTCCTCCTTAATTTACTAACTTAACTTATTCTCCTTAATGACTTTTTCTTCTCCTATATAATATTTTTTCTGATCTGATCAATACTTCCCAATCCAAAGCTACTAAAACTCTTATTACAATATAATAAATTCCCTCCTTCATTGGATTAGATCCCAGTATAAATGATTTTGCTCTTCACTGGGTTTAAGGATTTATCTGGTTAGGACTTTGGCATACCAGATTTCCAATTCGTAAAGCATATAGTGCACAAGGGAAAGAATTATCAGGGTTAGTTAAGTTCATCAGCTCTTTCAAAAATCATTGTATTGGTTGATCTTCAAATGTACCTATGTTTATCAATTGCCATGTGTTCTTTATTAACTATAGCTTTTGCAAACTTTACGTTATACTACACTACTTTCTTAGATTATATCCAAAAAGAATTTACTTAATGAAGTTTTTTTTGTTTTTTGTTTTTTTTTTTAAGCTGAGCCATCCTGCCACCTGTTGGCAGCTCAGCGGCTGCTCAGCTCAGGCCTGGAATCGAACTGCCGTTGCTCAGAGCTCAAACTCTTGAGTGAGCTCTTAACCAACTGAGCCACTCGGCCGGCCTAACTTAATGAAGTTTTAAAAGGTGGTTTCCACTTATAATACGGGCACATTTCATAACAAGAACCATGTTCTACTGAGGAAAGAACACTACACAATGGTCAGGAGAGCTGGGTTCCATTACTGGATCTTTCACTAAATGGCCACGTGACCAAGGGCCAGTTACTAAACCTCCGTAGATACAGGTGTCTTCATTATAAAATGAAGGAGTTAGACATGATGAATTCTAGAATTTAAGGAATCTGAGGATGATACTATAAAGATGTTCCAACATATATAATTAAAGTACAATCATAGGGGTAGGTAGAAAGCATAAAATTTAATGGGTTAAGCCCAGCACATAAGAATGAGGAAAGTAATGAGGAGGCAGAATCTGCTGCCAGAAGAAAATGTCTGCAAGCAGGAAGAACAAATTATTTTCTCCAAGGGTTGGCTTATACAAAACGACTCTCTGAACACATATTGGGAGCCACCTGGCCTATGAAGGTGATTGCTGAACTGAAGGCCATATGGAAGAAGAAATGCAGATTTAGTTCTTTAAAAAGGAAGAAAATTTTAAATTCAAACATTAGCAAATAATAGATTGGCAAATCTTCAAACATCTCTTATTTGTTTTTTGTTTTGCTCTACCCTTCTTATCCATTTCTGTGTCCAAGGTTAAACATTTGGGTTTAAATAGGATAAAGTCACAGAATTAGAAATTTCTAGAGATGTTTCTTCTGGTGTCCTCAAAATGGAAGTTTTATATGGAAGGGGCAACTTGAAACTTTTAACTTGTAATTTCCCTTTTTTATTATAGCCTAATCTTATGAGCAGAAATATCACATATAAAAAGCTGCAGAACAGGGACCTGTAGAATTTAATGAAATAAAATCACTCTTTCCCCATTACTTCCCATGGAATAGCTATTAACATTTGTTGAATATGTCCTTTAATTTTCTATTAAATGATAAGATATGCTTTAATATATAAATTTCTATTTAAGTAGGACATTTAACACTCTTAAAATTATATCATTTTGGTGAATCTTTCTGTCACCAAATCCCAGAAATCTGAAACATTAAGGACATTTATTGAGAAAGTCTCATTGTAAAACTCAAAGTGTTTTTTAAAGAAACTGAAAACTGGACAAGTACTTAGTATAAAACGATTGCTGTTTCTTGCCTCTGGAACAAGGAATCTCTAACAAACTCCCCAGTCTTTCCTTGATTTCCATTCCTTGACATTTTTGAAGATTACAGGCAGGTTGTTTATAATATGTTCTTCTTTTAGGTTTGTCTAATGTTTCCTCATGATTAAATTCAGGTTGTTCATCTTTGGCAGGAATATCATACAAGTGAGAAATCTCATGATAATAAGATGATATCTGTCAGGCCCCTACACTTTAAAGTTACTCTATTTCCCTTTGTAATTAATAAGTATTTTGTGGGTGTACTCTGAAACCATATAAGCATTCCCTTTCTTGTCAAACTTGTGTTTTCATTTATAATAGTATGTATCCATGGTTTCCTATTTTATTCAATAGGTTATAATCCATCACTATCATTATTTATTTTAACGCTTCTATTGTCCCAGATTTGATCCATGGGAGTCTTTTCAATCTGGCTCCTGTGTCCACCCCTGCCCTCCAATATTTCATTATGAAAAATTTCAAACACACAAACACACACACACACACACACACACACACACACACACACACATATATATATATATATATATATATCAAAGCTGAAAGAATTTTACAGTGGGTATCTATA